TCTACTGTATCCACTCATTCCCCATCAAATACAATCGAGCTCACAGGGTGCTGCAGCCCCATTCACTAGATGTTTTCCACCTGATCTTAAATGAAGATGCTCCGCAAAAGGTCTGTCAGGATTTCCTCCACATCCTCTCTTTGGTATTCTGCGCACCCATATCTTGCACCTGCGTCCTAAGAGGCCAATTGTTCAGGTCTTCGACCGTCCTCCTCAACTGTAGGAGTAGGTCTCCTTGTCTTACGGTCTGGGCCTCGTGGGAGTGCTCCGGCACAGCCCTGACCAGACAAGTGTCAACCATTTCCTAGATGCAGCTCCCCTGTATTGTGACCTCCCCCTACTCACCACCACGATCCAGGATGCCCTATGCACAGAAATAGAGGTCTGCTTTCGTGGCAATGGAGGCTGCTGTCTGGATCCCTGCCATCTTGCGGATTTCTTCCACCATTCCTTCCATGGTAGAGGTAGGAGGACCTCTGGGCAACGGGGAGGCAGGTGCCATCTTGGAGCCTCCAGCCTCGTCGCGTGTGTCAGCTTGTGTTTGCCAATAACGATCCATCATACCGAGCAGCTGGCCTGATTGAGAGCCTCTGGTGGTCTTGGGGAGATCACCTCATTGGTTTTGTCCCATTATAGCTGAAATAAGTGTATGAGTAGGGCTTTTTAGGGACTGGTGGGGTGGAAGCCCTGTGTTTAAGCATCCATCCTGGTTGACATCCAGACCACGCCCCTCCCTAGATGTATTATAGAAGTAAATTAGATTGTGACCATTCTATGTCATTTGCAATTTGAAATTATAGTCTTATATGATCTTACTAACGGTAAAAATAATTAATTATTAGTGTTCATATTTTAGTAGCCACTTTGAATTTATCTTTGCACATATTATCTGATAGACAAAAAGTTGTTTTTTTGTGTGTTTAGCCACTTATATATGAAGAATGGGGTATGTCCAAACACTAGCAAAGTAGACCCCCTATATTGGTGTTCAATTTCCACACACACTGGCCACTTTTATTTTTAACACCCTGGGTTATGTCCATGTGAGATATCATAAAACCCAAAAACACTGAGTCACACCTATTTTTTTTATTTAAATACTTTATTTATGGTATATTTTATGTAGTTTGGTGTGTGGGGTATGGGGTACAGAAGAGAAATGGGGTGGGGGGGTGGGAATGCACAGTTGTTAATTGTGCGATTGTACAGCATCTTCTCTGTTGTCTACTATGCCTATATATGCATAGATTCTATTGTTTCGTCTGTCTAAGTAAAATGGTTGTAAGATCCAAGCATGTACTGTACATATTTTGAACTAAGTTCCTGGACTCTATACCTTTTGGAGGTACTGAGAGGCTCGCCTGAGCCTGGGGCATTAGTTGATTATTTAGATCGGTACCTCTGTAGGATTATTACGGCCCCTATGGGGGGTATATAGAAGTTGTGTTGGAGCATCTCCTTCAAGGGTGGTCCATATATTAAGCAAGTATGATACAGACGTATGTTAGACATATGTGTCAATGGCTGACCAAATGGGACCCAAAATTCTTTTTCTTTTCTCTCCCCTGCTTTATTATTACCTAGGGGTGATGGCGTTATGTGACAACACCACTACACAGTTGGACTGAACACGGGGATAAGCGTGGCCATGTCGGGTATATGGGTCGCTTAGTCTTCAGTTGAAGGTTATCTTTGAGCCAGGTGGTTCGGTAGTTTGGTATGTTTTGGTGTTATAGGGTTTTGTGTGCCCCGAGTTGCATGTGCGTCACATGGGCAAGTTCCATTGCCTGGTATTCCTGTGCAGGGGTAGTGAGGTAGAGTAGTGGGTATAGAATGGGTCATGGGGGGAGGATTCCAGGGGTAGGGGGGTCCCAGGATGGGTAATTGGGGTGATCTGCCTCGTGTGCGGGGCCACAGCCTGGTGGGTATTGCGGGGTGAGCGGATGTTTGGGCTTGACAGGAGCTTTGAGGGGGGGTTTAATCCTGAGAGCTAGGTGATAGTGTATTTGAGGTATTTGCACTTATGTAGGCCGAGGTTGTGTTCACCGGGGCAGGGAGGTATCTCCCTCTAGTAATGGGTCCCAAACCTTATCCAAACAATTCCATAAGCTCACATCCCAACTCCATGACACACCCATTTGTATGGTATCCTGTATTTTTTTAGTGATGCTCGCTTGTGATGTAATGCAGGTGGTGGACCACAGTTCTGCTATTGCCCGTTGTGTTGAGAGGGCGATGTGTGCGCTAAGTTTGTTTTCTGCTCTGGTTAAATTTCCTAGAGGTTTTGAGAGTAGGGGGGCCCATGGGTCTAATGGGTATGGTTTATGTAGAATTTATGTCAGTAGGGCAACCACACTGATCCATGGTGGACATGTCCCAAAATAAAACCACTAACAGTTGAAAAATGTCCCTTGTTCTCCACATAGTTTCCAGCACGTGCTGGGTGTTTTGTGGATTATTGCTAGGCGTTGGGGTGTAAGGTACCATTGAAAAAGCATCTTGAATGCTTGTTCCACTTGTGTTAGACTGATATTTGGGAAGCTATGGCCTCGATATCTGCCCAATTTGTGTGTGTTGTCTTCTGGGGGTCCCAGGTCTTTTTCCCAGGCTGCTATATAAGTTAGTGTTACTTGGGTAGGGTGGGTTGCTAGGGTCGTGTATAGGTCTGATATTTGACCTATTCTAGTTGGGTGGCAAGTGCATTCCTTCTCAAATTGGGTGAGTGTGGCTGTGCCGGCTTGTTGTATTATTGGGGTTAATGGAAATCATTCAGTCGCGCAGCTTTGCGAGTATTTTATCGGAAGTGGTCGAACAAAGATGCGGACACCTTGACATTGTATTACCGCGTTATTTTGGTACAGGCTGTTGAGTCTCACTCTGTCCCTTTGGTTGAAATGGGCAAAGTGGATGGGTGTGAGCCCTGATGGAAATAGTTTGAACTATCCTCATTCCTCTCCCCAATGACCCCGATCTGGAGGAACAAATTTATCCTGTAGTTTGCCCTGGAGGTCCAGGGAGTGCATGATGGTTGGATCCCTAAATCGCATTGACACCCCACCCCACCCCCCAAAGATTGTGTGTTGGAGGTCTACCCATCTCTTGGTTTGTGGTGGAGCGTGCCATTGTTAGATCTGAGCGAAGTGTGTCGCTGCATAGTAGTGTGTAAAGTTTAGGAGCCCTAGGCCCCCATGTTTTTTTGGGACGTAGAGTGTGGTTCTCCAAACTCGAGGTTTGTGGCCGTTCCAGATAAAGTGATCTACCGCCGTTTGTAACGTTTTGAGGTCTGATATGTGGGGTGGTATGGGTAGTGTTTGAACCTACTGCTAGATCTTTAATTTTTACCAATGCCACCCGACCCAGCCAGGACACCCCACTTCTGTAGGTCAGCATATGCTTTACACCCCATTACTACATAGTGTTTGTTTTTCATGTATAAAGTCAGCTGGGAGTTAGATACCCATTCAGAATATGCCCCTCCAACATAACATACTTGGGAATACGTCTTTTATGCTGGCTAGTTTTGTGTCGGAGAGCTGGATTGGAAGTAGTTCCAATTTTGATAGAACCCCTGCTAGATTCAGCTTATATCCCGTGACCTTTGTATAGTCATGTATAGTATCTATGGATTGGTCTGGATTTGTGAGTGTCAGAAGAATATCATCCACATAGGCGGATACCATGTATGGTTCGCCTCTGATAGTGACGCCTGCTATGTGAGGGTTAGAGCGTATCGCGTGGAGTCGGGGCTCTAGGGAGAGTGCGAATATAAGGGGCGACAGTGGGCATCCTTGTCATGTGCCATTGAATATTGGGAATCGGGGGGAGTGATATGAACTTTCCAAACACATTCCTTGCATTCCTACATCACCCCACCCAAAGGAGCCCTCCTACTTCCCAACAAGCAACATATGTTCTAGTGTATGGTAGAGCGGTTGAATGTCTTTTCAGCGTCTAGTGAGATCACTGTTGTGGGGAGTTTGCGGTTTTGTGTCAGCCATATGAAGTCTATATTTCTGCATGTGTTATCAGATGCTTGTCTATTGGGTATGAAACCCAATTGATCCGGTTGTATTCGCCAATAGAATCAATCCATACTTAGAATTATGAGCAAAATGATGGGTTTTCTGAGATCCACATTTAGCAGTGAGATGGATCTGTAGTGTTCAGGCTCCGTGAGGCCCTTGTTGGGTTTGGGGAGCAGGCAAATGTTTGCCATTGTCATATCCGGTGGCAGTTGGTCCCCGCTTAGGGTAGCATTGAAGACTGCGCAGAGGTGTTTTGGCCCGGACGGCTATACCACCCTTTACTATAAAGAGTTTAGCCCCCTACTCCTCAGACTTTGGAGAGAATGGCAATAGCCCTCGGGGCCTGCAAATCCAACAACTGTCGCCTCTGCTTCTATGGCTTGTTTGGCTGTTTGAGATAGGGTAGGTAGTGTTATGTGTTAAAGATAGTCGTCTATTCGTTCCCGGTAGGCGGAGTTATCGTGGTGGAGGTGTGAGGAAGTATTCCAACAATACTTCTAATCCCTATACAATCACTACCATTTGTTCAAGTGAGTCGCTGAGTGAGCCTGTCCTAGTGTGTATGGAGGATCTTTTTTTGGCTTCCATGCGTTGGAGTCGTCAGGCAACAAAGCTGATACCATGTTGGCCTGTTTCGTAGTGTTTCTGTTTAAGCCACATTAGGGATTAGGTCATGTCCATGTGTTTTTTTTTTTTTTTTTTTTTTTAAAAGGAGTTCTCTGGTGGCGTTTAGTTTCTAGTGTTTTTGATTGTGGGTTAGTCACAAAAGTAGTTCATGCAGTTTTTGTAGCTCGGTCAGCATCTCTGTGAGTTGCTGCGTTTTCACTTTTTTTGTGGGCTGTAGCTAGGTTGATGAGGATGCCTCTGATAACTGTTTCGTGTGCTGCCCAAAGTGTCATCGGGGAGGCTACGGAGGGTGTGTTAGCCATAGTTTCGAAGTACTCTTTGCTAGCTACTTCAAGTTTGATTTGGGTGTCATGGAGGAGTAAGCAGGTTCAGTTTACAAGACCATGGGCGTTTTAGGTCCAGGAGGCGGATGATGAGCGATATGTCGGCATGGTCCGACCACGAGATGGTCCCTATGTTGGTGCTAGATACTTGGGATATTAAGTTTGAGGTGTGTGGGTGTGAATAGATCACTTTACACCTTCTATGCGTGAGTATGGGGAGATTAAAGTCTCGGGTAGATGGGTGTTGTGCTCTCCAGATGTCGACTAGGGATTGTGTGGTTAGAAATTTGGCGAAGTAGGCATAGTTTCGGGAGGGTTGAGGAGCCTCCATCCCTCGCGATGATCAATCAATGGCTGGGATGTGTGTGGCGTTGCAGTCTCCACCCATTATTACAAGCCTACGCAGGTAAACGCCTAAGTGTGCGGCATATTGTTGCCAGAACAGGCCATCTGGGGTAGCTGGGGCATATATGGAGCTGATGACGTATTTGATTGTGCCTATTTCCCCTTCTATGGTAATGTAGCGTCCTTGAGGATCCTTTGTACATTTGATGTCTGTTAAGGGGCATGTAGATTTGAGTATGATAGAGACCACTTTTGTCTTAGTGTCCGGGAAATGGGCCATGTAGCTCTGTTTATAGTATTGGTTGGTAAGGAGGAACGTTCTTGTGGTAGTAGTATGTCTACATCTTGCCTGTGTGCCCAGCGTAAGAGTCCGTGTCTTTTAATGGGGGTGTTGAGGGCCACGCATTTCAGGGAGAGGGGCATCGAGCTTAGTGTTCTGCCGGGTTGGGCCCGGTGTTAGCTCTGGTGTATTGTGTGTGGTGGGTGTTGGGGCGGTAGGGCTGGGGCTCCGTGCCGCGGCAGGGGAGTGGAAGGAAGGTTATGGGATTGGGAGGGTGGTGGGGTTCTGGTTGTGTGGGCGTTAAGGGTTTGGGTTAGGGGGTGTATCGGTGGGTAGTGGCGGTTAGCCAGAGTTGCATGTTAGGCCCTTCATTACAAGTAATTGCATTGATTCAAATAATGTGGTCCTCTCTAGCCGTGGGATATGGGGGGCGATGCCGCAGAAACCTACCACTAAGGGTATGGGGGCCCGGGGAGGGAGCAGGGAGAGGCCCCATGTAAGCCTTGTCCGTGTGTGTGAGTACTGTACCCAGAGACAGTCTGACACTTAAGGCGACACACTCACAAACTACACTCCTGCACCGGAGACCGAGACCCACTGCCCATGGAAGCGGTCTTTGTTAACTCTTGGGGGTAGTAGTGTGTAGTTTCTGGCTATGTGTTCTTGTCCCTATACGGGGTAGATAGATAATGCTTATTATTGTTTAACATCAACCTGACAATATAATGCTGGCCGCTTGTACATAGTTCCTCATAATGAGTTCTTATGCAAGGTATAAGGCATCGAGAATGCAACAATATTGACACTGTAATGTTGTTCAAAGGCACAAACGTTGATATAGGTCACATGTTTAAAGTCAATGGTAATCTGTCAGAGTATTTATATCGGCAGACATTTTGTGCTATGATGGAAACTAAAAGTGTATATTCTGAGTCACTCTGAACAGATCAGACTCCATTTTGTTATTCCAAGTTAACAAAAACAAAGAGACACAGGATTTCTTTCTGTAAGACTGGCCTCTTTGCCAGAGTTAAGGAATGCATAGCATAGTATAAACAAGTGATAAGAGGAATATAATCAAATCTAAACCCAGACGATAGAGAAGATTAAATTATTTAATTTTACTGTCACAGTCTCTATATATATATATATATATATGGTACCATTGTATGGAAAAGGGTAAACTTAGTCTGGACAAAACTTAATTTCTGATATGACAGATTATGGCAGGAATTGCAGACGCATAGTTCATGAAGAACCCTTTGATCTGTGAAGGATACATAAGTTATAGTGGTCATTTGAGATAAGCAAAATGAAGTCAAAATAGCCACCAGGAAAAGTTAACTCTTTCCTGGATAGGTATGTTTAGTGGGACAAGACTGCCCTCTATAGACCAAATAACTAATTTGCGATCTGGAAGATAACCACACCTCTAGTGCTTCTATTGGGTTATCAACTGATGACGTACAGAGAGTCTGGCCCTTTAAAAGTTAAGACAAAGGGAAGATAGATATACGAGAGAGATCCAAGAGATATGCAAAGAAAAAGAGGAGAGAGGAATTGGAAGTTTGGGGACTCCAACCTCCCTGCAGAGAGAGACTACCAATCGGATGAAATATCTACTCATTTGGATGTCTCAGGAACTTAACTGGTAATTATACTGGTTTAATTTAATTAAATTAATTAAAATGTATTAATAGCATTATATATGACTGGATAAAGCACGGTCAGATTTCCATATTAAGAAACCTTAGTTAACTAAAGAATATATAGTTATAATCATTCCATTCTGCAGGTGGAATTAAGAATAATTATATATTGATGTGATATTATCACGTGGTAGCATACCACTGTTTTTATCCAGGTGTATTGATTTGCTCTAAATTAAGATAAGATATCTTTTAGACAAATTAAAATTAAAATCTGCTTATATAATATGGTAGATTCTCTTATTGGATGGTTTCAGAAAATGACTAATGAACTAGTTTAAATGTTATTTTATTTAAAAATGACATAAGAATAGATCTTAACTACCTAGGAGATCTAGCCAGCATTGAAAGGGTTATTCTAACTGTCTGCTAAACTTTACGACCTTACGCTGCACTCTGAGGAATTCTGTTCTTCGCTGTGAAAAGTTTATCTTTAACACAGACTGAAAGTGAGTCATTGTAACGGATCGCCTGGCACCCCGACTGGGTACCTCTGTTGAAAGATGCTCCTAGCGCTTCCTGAGGACTCCAAGCACTGCAGCAGACACCACAATCACCGAACCAGAGAAGCGTATACCTTCTCTCAAGCATATGAATGCTGTAGACAGTAAACCTATTCGTATGGTTCCTATTCAACTCTCCTAGCAGTCAAACTGGAACAGCATACAATAAATCCTTCCCCCAATAATGGGACGACACTTCACTTTGTGGATTGGGAATAAAAGAGACTGAGGGTTAAAACAGGAAATCCCTGTACTGTCACATACAAACATAGTACAGCCCACAGGGCGTTACAAAACAACCAATCACATCACAGTTACATCCCACATATTCCCTCCCCTTATCCTGAGAGGAAACTCAATTATACAAACAGTTAAAACATACTTTCTACCCAACTTTCATAACTCCAAAACCATACATCACATTCACATAAAATTACATATTCACAATCAATCCATTCAGGGGAACAACATATTCAAAAATGGCACAAATCAGACAAGGGGTTCAAAAGTTAGTAAAAAGTCCTTTGTGACTAAATGAAACTGGTTTGGGCCAGAAAGCCATGCTTCAGAGTCTTCTATCCTGGAGATAAGTAATTCAATTATCTCCCAGGATAGACACAAGACTCCATTAAGCACATGGTTGCAAAAAGACACAAAGCACTTTAAAATACATAATGTGCACTCAGATCCCATCTATCTGGGGATATGTGAAATATCTGTGTGTTATGTGTAAATGTGACTTTATTTCCCCTGCAGAAAGGCTTATTTGTGTGATCTGAGTGCCATTCATCTAATAAACGGTTTAACCTGCAGGGCCATAGTCCAAAGGGAGCAGGCGAGCAACCAGGCTTCTCCAGTTCACAGTGGCGAGGTTGGTTTCGCCACAGTCATAAATTATAAAGTCTTGACAGAAAATGCTGTAATAGCCATTGAAATGTAATAGCCATTCCTTTGTATTGCATACCATTTTATACTGGATATTCATTGATTATTGTCACACATGTTAGATTTTATTTTTAATAACAAATTAATTAATAATAATATAATAATATCACAATGTATAAAAATACATATGAAATACTTCTCACTTACGATAACGTTCTTTGGGATCTGAGAATTGAATTAGTGGGCAATTCTCAACTGTTTATGGGATAATAATAGTAAATATCCCCACAAATCCCAGTTCATTGTATGTTGTGCTTACTAGAATATTACAGAAGGATACCAAGATACACAGCTATATGACACCTGTGAGATTGCAGTTTGGCTTAGTTCTTGCTGTGGGAGGTGGGAGACCTGAGCGATAGGGGGTGTTGACACTTCAAGGTGGAGGTTCACTGGTAGCAGTGATCTATATGTTGTACATTTTTGTTGTGTATTTGGCAAATTGCAGCAGGCACACAGCACAACAAGGTACTCTGGTTGTAACCCAGGGTCGCATGGGAGATCCTAGTAGGGGAGGGGAAGAAAATTAAAATTAAAGAAAATACATATTTTACCTTTTTCTTTTTCCCCTTTCTCCCCCCTTTTACTTCCCCTGTTGTCTCTTTTTTCCCCCCTTTCTCCCTTCCCTTGTAGTTTATGTGCTATTTTGCTTGAAGAAATACTAGGAAAACACAACTGTGAGAACACAGATTTGTAATATCACCTGACCTATATTAATCAACATCTACCTTAAGAATCTAAACCGTTTTAGAAATTTTACTCACTCAAATTGGACATTGTCATAGTTTGTCAATATGTTATCCACGACCGAGGGCAAGGGCTCTCTCCACTCTTTGAATGCAATTTATGCAGGTAATGAATTTTAATTTTAAAAAGATAATTCTCTTGTATGTCGAAAGGGAAGATCTACCATTGTTCAGATTTTAACATTAGTACATTAAAGGTATGTCTACAGGATCTTATAATTATGCAGAGCTCTGTGAAAACATTTTTCTCTAAAAGGTCTCCTTTGAGGACTTGCCTTTACCATTACAATCCCAACATGAGTAACGGATTGTATTAACATGCTGGTTGATCAGAGATGAGGAATACAGTGTGTATTGATAGCCTAGAGAAGAGGATTGGCAAACAGAGGAAGTCTTAGGTCTTTCTGTTTATGCCACCAGAGCAGGCATAGGCATCCTTTGGCACTGCAGATGTTTTGGACGACACACACCCATGATGCTTTGACAGCATCATGGGTGTAAGAGCAGTATGGGGGATGTAGTCCTCAATATCTGGAGTACCAGTGGTTGAAGTGGGAGTCTCTAGCTATTAATTTTAATATCACTGGCCTAATGTGATAAGCATTTTCCTAAGTGGCTCTGGAGGGTTACCAAAGGTACACTAGTTTGATATCACACCCACAATGTGATACGATTGTGCTGCCATTGTGCAGATAGAATAGAATTAAGCTGTTCTTAAAAAAGTAATTTGTATGACCTCAATCCATGGTTAATTTTGGAACTATTTCACGGTTGTCTTCTAAACCAAGACACAATTATCTCTA